AAAAAAATAGTCTTTGATTGTCGTAACTAACCAAAGATGTTAAAATATGGTATTTTATTTTTGTTTTGTATATTACTGTATTATATCCAATACTGTATAGAACCTTACAGTACCTTAAATTATAAGAAATGTTTAGAAAAGTTATAACCCCGTTGTTTATAGTGAAATATGAATTATTTTAAATGGAATAATTGAAAAAAAAAAACTAAAAGGTCAGAAAACGTTTTAAAAAAAACTCAAAACACAAGAATTATTTTAAATCTAATTTACCAAATCAATATATAGTCATGCTGCCATATGTAGGTTGTAGGTACCATATATCCCAGGGACGGTCAAACTTTTTTTGGTTACAATCTACTAAAAACATACTTCACCTTTAAGGATTGACTTTTCTAGAAAATTTTTTATTATTGAATAACTATTATTATTAAGAAACAAACTTGCATAAAGTGGATATAAACATACAATAAGTATTATCTCATCATATCAAACATATGCATTTGTCTTTCAACATAGTAAAAAAAAAATCCATTTTCCATTCTACATTAAATGATAGTACGTTATTTGTTTCTTATGTGCACTCATAATTATAAATTTTAAAGAACTTAAATACGTTATTATAAATTTAATACAACAGAYACCGAATGCATGACAAAATACTAAATAGATCTATTTTGGCATGACCGAATGAACACAGTGAAATAAAGTAAATGTCAAATGAACATTCGTGAACGATAAACATTTGAATTTGACACAAGAAACCAGATTAAAAGATAAAAATTGTACAGATAAAACTTATCGACAATTCAATAATTAATTCGTGCGCGTGTCCCTAAAAATAAATTCTAACATGATCGACTTTGAAATTGTCCGCGGTCGACCGTTTGGCCGCCCCTGATATATCATATACGGATATACGTCATAGTGATTAGAAATAACTTAAATTTAAAATATTTTAATTACAATTCACATTTCATGGTAAATTATATTTTTAAAAATCAAATAAACTTCAAAATAAATTAGAATTTGAGTAACCTTATTATCTGCCAACTAGTATACTTACCTAGTTACCTATAAATATATCTACTAACTTTTTGTTTCCTAATAATAAGTCTAAGTAACTATAGGTATTAGGGTCACTGTTTCTTATGTTTAATTTTTAAAAGGAAATAAATAGAAAACTTAACACTTAATAGTTAATAGGTACTTATATACTATTTCGTATTTTCGTTATTCCTAAATTTACGATATTATAATAGTACAATGAATTGATTTGTCATTTTTAACACCTAAATGCTAAATAAACATGATAACAATTATATTTTAGATTCTGAATGAGGTGAGAAATGTTTTGATTTTACAAAGATCTGTTGTTTTTTTAAATATTTTTTTTTTGGATCTGTCATCACGTTTTGGAGTAGAAATAATGCTTTGATTTTAATACTTATTTTCACCTAAAGTTTATATTAGCGTTATCTATTTACAATTAAATTTTCGAAATATTTTGACTTTTTTAAGTGATTTATAGAGAGTTGAAATTTTCGATTTTTTTAAAGTTTTTTGTTTTGAAATGCATATAAAAAAAATTTGGCTATCCAAAAATCTTTAAAATTTGATACAAGGTTTATTATAAGCTTTACTCATCGTAGTAAAAAAATAAAAAATCGTTAGTCACAATGTTTATTTATAAGCATTTTAAGTTCAAATATCTACGAAATATGCCAAAATCACGAAAATTTGAATGAAAGTATAAAGTTGAAGATTCATAAAATTGTTGTCATTTTACCTAAGCTTAAAAAACCCAACCCAAGGTTCTCCATTACATTTCTTCAGATAATTGTAAAAAAACTTTAGAATCAATACCTATAGAAAATTAATAAGTACCTATGTATTGTATGATGTTAGGTATTTGATTATGGTAAATAATTTCACTATAAAGCAATATTACTATAATATTAATTTTTTCTAATAAAATTACATTTGAAAATATCATTGTGTGTTTAAAATATAATGATATATTTTTAAAGTTTCAAGTTTCAAGCATGTAGCTATAGGTAATAACAATAAGTATCACCTATGCAAGAATATTTTTTTTTTAATACAACTCCCCGTGTCTTTGAAAACTACAGGGAATTTTGAATATTGACCTCCCGATACATATACTAGATTCACTATCCAACCAGAAAAATTAATTAAGTTGAATATCGAAGCATTCCTCCGACTACTTACCATGCAGGTACACAAAAACACACATACACATATACATATTAAAAAATAATTATTCATTCATTGTTCARCAGCTCAGCTCATTATCAAAAATGTAAAAACTAATTTTTTAAGTGGTTTCTCTCTTTGCGAATATTATGATATACTGTTCCGTGTTCATTGCAAAGTAGTTCGAATTCACCATCCATTGATTCTCGCAAACATTTGATTTGTAGCCTAAAACCAGGATAGAAGTTCAATTAAAAAAAAGTGAAAAAGTAGTTTACAAGCGAGTTCATGACGAATTCAAATATGTTTTCAGAAGTTTAATGGGAATACTAGGATCACTATAGTTGACAAATTTGACATAAGGTTAATATAACCAATAACCATAAAGTAGAAAACACAACCAGGAAATGAGTAAAGTGTACCATAGAAAATCACAATGGGTTAATGAATTGTAATATAGGTACTTCAATCACGTTAAATTTGGAATATAATAAATTTGAGCAAGTTAATGACAATAATTAACTGTGATAATTTAAGTAAATTAAACTTTCAGTTAAAAGTTAACAAAGAAAAAATTAACTCAATAATTTTAAAATTAAAATAAGCCTAATTTGGTTAAATTTTTTTATTTTTTTTTTTTAAGCTACAGTATTTAAGMCATTAGGTAAGTACCCTAGTATTTTGATTTGTACAAACATTTACCAAGACATTTAACAACGTAAATATCAGATTATTATGAACAATTATTAACAAATAAATGACCGAAATTGAAATTGTTGAAGAATTATAAAATTGTCTGATGATTCCACATAATTTGAAACAAAAATAAACTGAATTCACTGCATCATTCTGATAATTATTTATAAAAAGTTAAGTTACGACAATACAATTTGTAACTTAAGTTAATAACAAAAATAATTAACTTAAAGTTAAAAAGTTTCTCTGTTTATGATTTTTTGCCTACTGCTGGAAAAATATTTGTCAACTTTGTGCTAAAATATATTGTTATGTTTGATAATTAATATTAATATGTCAGTTGTTGAAATATAATTTATAAATTTGACACAAAGCAATAAAAATATTGCTCCATAAAAGATATTAAATGTATACTGTATAGAATACTAGTTATCTAATTATCTATCAAATCATTCAAATCCAGTTTAAATGATTTAAGAGTAAACAAAATCAGAATTTATTTTAAAATAACAAATATATCTAGACTAACGCTCAACGTAATATTAATTTAATTTTTGATTACAACKGTTTTTGTGATGTTCTAGAACTAATTTGTTCTTAAAAAATTATTTGTATCTTTAGTTCTAAGATTTTTTTTTTTAAAGAAATACTACAAAAAATTAAACTGATTTTGAATGTTAATTATTCTTATCAGTTTTTACATGATGTTTGGAATATAAATCAATCATGTTGATCATGAGCATTAACATCAGCTCATAAGTTTATACAATTTTAACAGTATAGACAGTCCTGTAAAGTATTGAATAACTCTTTAAATACTTTCAGCATGAAGTATTTTGAATGGTATTTTAAATACTTTTTTAAGTATTTTTGTATTAAGTACTTGTTTGTATTGAATACTTTGGTTTTTTATTTTGAACATTTTTTTTTCATTAAATTCAATACTCAGCTGCCAAGCAGTGCTCCAGTGGGGCAGATATTTAGTGTTGGTGGAGCAGCCATGACCAGAAAGAAGCAGTATGACCGATGAAAATTTTGAAAACATTATGTTCTTAAAATGTAACAAACATTTATACAATAAATAATAAATAAAATAAAAATTATTATAAACTTACTATGTGTCTATATTACGATAAATCATTAGAAACCTACTTTAAAAAACAAAAGTATTTGAAATACTTTACAATTAAAATTTGAGTAGTATCTTTAATACACTAAAAAAAATGTATTTGAGTATTTACTCAAATACTTTTTAAAAGTATTCTTTACAGGACTGAGTATAGATAACATAATAGTGTTAGGCTGGCACTCTGTTAGTAAAGAATACAACAAATAATATCAACAAGTTAACCATATTGTCTAATTCAAAATACAGTATATTACGTCTTCATAAATAATTACGATTAACAAAACATTGGCTAATTAAAAAAAATTTTTTTGGAAGTACAGTTTTTCTTCAACAAAATGTTGCATGTTGCTGTATACAATAAAAGCACAGGGCATTACAATACAATATAAACACAATTATAAATTTAATATTATTTAAAAATAATTAATAATAAATCACTATAAAAATATACTTCACTGTGTTTTAAGTACAAACACGGAAAAAAAAATATAACAAAATCAATTTTATTTGATTATCAACTCGACTAGATGAATTACGTCAATAGCATTAGCCCTAAATATTGTACTATATACTGTAATACAATTAATTAGGGGGGGTTCATTAAAAACAATACATTATGAGCATTTTTTCCTTTAACTTGATACAAAAGTTAATAAATCAAAGTAATAACATATTTTTTTTTGTTAATAAATAGTAAATAAATGAATAAAAATAAACTTATCTAAATGAAATTATTACATACACGTCTTTTTAATAATAGGACCTATTCACTTCATATACAATATTCTGACAAATCGTTGTATCTCAAAATAATTAGCATTAGCAAAAAACTAAGATTAAAAATCTAACACAGAAAAGTTAGATATTTGTATGTATTTATAAATAAGCGTTCAATTATGTTAAATAAATAATAAAATAATTCAATATAATTTATAAGTGCTATGCCCTAGCAATTTTAAGTATTAATAATAAGTAATCACGGTAAAAGTATTATAAAATATATATGTAAAAAAAAAAAATTATAATAATAAGTTCATTTGATTTTTAGTTACTTATGTTTACTGATCCCTTAAAATTTAGCTATGTGTGTGCTTTAAAATAATACTTGTAATGATTAATAAACAATAATTCAATTTGAGATCAATGTTTTAATTATCACACTTCAGACGGTCCCATAATAGACGAATTACCAATGGATACAGCCATTTTGGATAACGATAACTTAGGATGTTTAGGACTAGTCTTAGAAAATAAAGAGTTGTTAGTTTCAGCAAACATCTTACGAAAACTGTAAACAGAATACAATAAAAAATTAAATCAAAATATAAAATTAATTGAAGACCGATAAAAAAAAAACTGATTATATGCACTTACAGTTTACGAATACCAGATTCTGGATTTCGTTTCCATGGTGCATCATCAGGTTCTAAAGGTAATGGTCCTTGAACAGGCCCTTCTTCCTGTTCATCGTCAGACCTGAATAAGAAAAATTAAATTTAACTACAAAATGTATGATTAGGCAATGAATAAACCTATCAAGATCTCAGTTCAAAAGCCTTAATATTTAATTCAACTCTGTCCAGTGAAAAAACATAAAAAAATAAGGTTCTTTTGTACATTCCACACAACACCTGCCACAGTAGAATCATATACTTCATAGTATCCCAAGGAGATGAGTAGAATCAATGTGTTTTTTCGCTGGACTTAGTATAATATTAATATTAATATAGGTATTACTTTTAMATTATCAAATGATATATATTATATAAAAGCTAGCATACTTGAAACATTTTTTTCAGTATCTACATAGTCAATTTAGTCTTGCATATTGAAGTTGTGGTTTTTGTCTTTGAGAAAAATGAATTAATCAATATTCTACCACCATGCATAGTTATGAAATAAAAAAATTTTACAACAGCAATAATTGTAAAAGAGCAACTAAAATGAGATAATGTAAGCATTTCACTATATTGAAGTCATTACCTAAGTGTCAAACAAGTGTTCGCAAACAGTAGTAGTGAAACTTACCTGGTTGGGGATGTTACATCTGATAAATTTTCTGGGGTGATGACTGACACTTGCGTGTCTTCCTTATTGCCCGAAGCGGTGTCAGGATTTTTTCGGTGACTGTCTGTTCTGGTTGTACAGTTTCGTAGCAAAATTCTTCGTACCCGCGTTTCTTGGATTTCATCCCTTTCCTGGCTAATGTACAAGTTTACATGCACAAAGTGGTAGATTTGTAGTAAACCAAGCAAATTGTAGTAAGCATATGTGTACCAAGCGTGCAAATGGAAAAATAAAAACGTGCTTATTTAGTAAGGTATGACTTTTTTTTATAAATAATTATAAGTTAAGAAAGAAAGAAATTGAAATACATAGGTACCGGCAAACTTTTTTCAGTTAATTTTATGGGTATATAATTAATAATTATGATTGTTAAGCAAAATTATATGTAGCTATTCATTGATAAGAAATAAGTAATAGTAATTTTAATCAATGCTGTTACTTACGATATTGTCAATAATTCAGCTGGCCTATACTGTGAGAGTTCATCTTCAAGATCATTAACACGAGTTTTCAGATCATTGCGTTCAGTCAAAATATCTTTCAATTCATTGGTAGTAAACTTTGGTCTATCTGGATCATCTAAATCATATATGGCTTTGTTTTTTAAATCAGGCAAATCATCCTAAGTACAAGAAAACAAATATTAACACATGTTTATAGAAAAATTATTTAAAAAATTAAAACAGTTTACTAACTCTATATTTTGAGAGATCTTCATTTTCTTTTTGTGCTACACCAAACCTTTGTCTAAGTGATATAAATTCTTTTTGCTGTTTTTGTAGTTGGGAAAGAATATCTGCCCTCTCTTCAACTAAACCACGACATTGTAGTTGAGCAAAACGATGCTTACGTCGCAAATCTTTCAAAGTGGTTTGCAGTCTATCCATTTGAACAGTCAACTGTGGAGATATGATTGGCACAAAATTAATGAATATACAATGGAAAATTATTACAATATCAACTTACAGAATCAACTTCATTACTCTTTGAATTTAATTGATGTTCATAACTTCTAATACTATCACGCATTTGATCTACAGTACGACGTAGGCGTTGAAGAGCAACAGTATCAACATCTGGACTTAAAACTTGTGCTAAAAGTTAATAATCTGTTAATAAAGTGACACGAAAATACAAATTTTCTCAAAATTATACATTTTGAATCAACAATTTTATCCTTTTCAGCAGCTTGCAAAGACTCGGTCAATTTACGATTATCATCTTGAAGTCTAGAAACAGTAGTCAACAATTCGTTATAGTCTTCTCGCCACTTATCTTCAATTTGTTCCATTTCCTACAATAGAATAGTCGTATGACAAAAAGTAACATATGTTTTTGGTGAGTGAGAATGTAATATAATATTTGACATAAGWTTACCTTCTCATATTTGATCCTGTCTTCGGTCCGTTCCTGTTTGTCCATTTCCAGTTGTTGTATCGTCGCTCGCAGGTCGTCCACAGTTGTGTTCTCTCGTTCATTTTTCAAAGCCAATATTTCCATCTGTTCTAGGGCGGATACTACCTTGGGCATTAATCCTGTTATAGCATCAGTGCCATACGCGTCTATAATGGTCTCGAACTCTCGTCCTATGTCCTGCGCCATATCGTAGACGTCGATGACGGACAGTGAACACTTGTAGTTATCCATTTTTGCAGTACCGAAAACGTGCAATAACATTGGCACTTGACAGAACTATGACTGAATACTGAGTGGATAGTAGATCACAGAGCACGGACGGCGGTGCTTTCGGTTTCTATTTCGGTTCGGACAAACCCTTAGAACGTAGGCAATAAAAACGATTAGGAGATAGATACAGACAGCGTTTGAACGCGGGAGCAAACGAAACGAATAGGGTATTGATATCGACTTTTTATTACTCGGTATCTATAATCAATGGACCTGTTGACCTTTAAAAGACCCAAAAATCTGATAACGAAGGCTCTCGAAAACAGTCCAGCTGAAGCAGTCTTTTTGAGCCAGCTAATCCTTCATCCATGAATTCCTTCCAATTATAGCCTACCTTTCTGGCATCCGAAGTTCGGAAAATTATCAATTATAATGTATCTTGTTAGAGTATTATTGTTATTGTCGTAGCACAATCAGAAAAATATAACGTTTTCCAACTACATCCTCGTTGTCGGTATAGACTATAGAAGTATAGAGTAATATATGAGAATAATATGGCCGATATGGGTAGGGTAACTTTCCTTATCACGACAACCGAATATTAGTAATTACTAATTAGTAATTATTAATTAGTAATTACTAATTAGTAATTACTATCACTGAATTGAAGTTAAAAACAAAATATATCATGTCTATTAACTCGATATTTTCTCACTAGGTTGCGTTGAAAACAACATCAAAAAATGATAACTATATGTTGTTGTTCTTGTTATGCTTATTGCAATTTGCAATATTTGTCTAACACTTAAATCTAAATTCTAAATGCCGTTTTGTTTAGTTTTCGGTAGATCTAGAACACCTTTAACAAAACATAAAAATACTACTTTTCATAGGTCAGTATATTATTTTATTAACTTAATAGTTAATTTAAATAAATATTTCTTTCTTTACTCTTAAGTTTTACTTTTTAACAGATTTTCTGCTGATCCAAAGATACGAGAAAAATGGCTTGATTTTTTAAAAGCAAACAGTTTAGATGTAAGCAACATTAAAAAGCATAGCCTGGTATGTTCTCTAATCATTTTGACCCATCTTTATTCATTGCAAATAAAAACTGTAGAAGTTTATCAAAGACATCAGTTCCTAGTATTATAATATCTATATCTAAAGTAAAGAATGTGAGTTGGTTATAATATTTTCTTGCCATTTTTAATCAATTTTATATTTGTATAGTTCATTTAATTGATTTTAGACAAAAGCTATGTTTCCTAAAACAAAGGTTTGCTTGGCAAAAATTTTCAATCCTATTCTTGATATGAACAAGTCTTTAGTAAAGGTAATATATTTTTAATGTAATGTGTAATATTAATATAATAATAAGTTATATCTTAATAATTTATGGAATTTTTAAATAATATCTAGCAGGAGAATGACTTCAGATGATGAATTGCCACAATTGGATGTATCAATGAAATCAAATATAAGTTGTCCAAATTCTCCAACCAGTTGATGTGTTAAAAATTGTTCTATACAAGTAATATTATTAATATAATTATATTCATATAGATATATTTAGGTACATAAGAATTACTAGTTGTAATTAACCATTAAAACATTGAATTTGACATTTAGGTATCTGCTAAAAATATTGACTTCGAAAGAGTGTCATTATTAGATAATTTCTTCTTTTTTTTTATTAATGAGATTTTATCATTACATTATGATATCTCGAAAATTGGAATAACCTCTGGAATAATATAGTTGGTAAAACTCTCACTCTTAAATTCGGAAGCCTGATCGCAGAATAAAATTTAAAGTATGTTTTATATTAGATAATAGTATGTTATCAATTCTAAAAGTTTAAATACTGCAGTTGAACTAATTTTCTTTACTATCAAATGCAATCTTCTAACTTTGAAAATTTTTTATCATTTAAAGTACTTTTATTTTATTAATTAGGACAATGTGAATTCTTCATTTTTGGCTGCTTCTAGCAGCATTGCTGTTGACGATACTCTAAGGTGACGGTGTTTGAAGCTTGGAATTCATAAATTGTCAAAACAAATGGCCACAAAAAACAAAAAATTGAAGACACTTCAATAAACATTAAGTCATAGAAAAAAAAAAATGCATCTCTAACAGGTATTATTCTTTAGTTGAAAAAAGAAAATCTTGTAAGCTATGATGCCATAAACATCTTATTAGATTCGTTCAGTTAATATAAATATTTAATTACTGATTGGTCTAAAAAAAATAATAGCCAAAAAATACAGTCCAGCTGTAAGGCAATTTGCTCTGTCCTTGCATGTTTTATCAGTTAAACCTTACGATTACATCAGAAAGCAATTTAATACCATTATACCATTCTACTACATGTTCAAACTTTATCGAAATGGTATTTGCATRTAGATGCTAAACTAGAGTTCACTAGTGAAGCTTTAAAAATGCTTACCCTAAAAGTAAAGTTTGCTAATAATTCAGAAATTTGTATTTTAATGTTGGATGAAATTGCTATTCGTCAAAAGCTTGATTTGGATGGACAAAATAATTATAGAAGAGTAGATTTAGGAACAGGTGTAGAGTATTAAAGTTTGGAATTGGCTAAAAAATGTTTAGTGTTTATGGTTGTATCTATGAATTAAAATTTTCAAGCTTTTATAACTGATACTCAAAAAGCTGAACTTACAAAACACGCATTAAACTTATTGAAAGAAACAGAAGTTTCTATAGCTAGCTTAACGTTTGATGGTTGCTCTTCAAATTTAACAATGGTATGTCTACTAGGCTGTGATTTTAATGCGAATAAATTAAATATTATATTTGATAATATTGTTGTATTTATGGATCCAGCTCATATATTCATGCTTGTGCGAAATGCTTTTTGAGAGAAATGAGAATTTATTGATGGCAATGATAACCAACATTTATTTTGATTAAATGAAAAAATTATTTTTGATTCAAAATGATAAAGGCAAAAAAGTCATATATGTTTTTCAAACAGAACATAGTTTATCGAGATGTTCAATGCCACATTTGATAATATTAATTTTAGGCCAATTAATTACATTGGAAATAAAAGAGCTATTTGTAAAGACAATTTTCAATAGTATTTGAATTTACAAAGTTGATGACTGATTACATAAGTGGACTGAATACTGAAAGTGAAAGATAAAGGATTATTTGTATCCATATTAGTATCAAGTAAAAATACTGGTTTTCTAGGATTCATTGTATGTTTCAATTGGTATTCAGAAAAAGAGCTACGGGTAAAATAATCCATGAAAATAAAAGCCAAATAAAACTTTTCCATAAAATTAATGTATTCAAATATTTAATTTTTATCATGGTGTGATGTAACATAAGAAATGTAGTTCATACTGCAACATGTATATTTAAAAATAGTCACCCAGTACAAAGTATTTACATAATAAATGTCTAGGTGTAAGACATAAATCAATTGATTTCCTGATAATATTATGTAGTTCATCTTCATGCTGCAACATTTATAGTGAAAATATAATTACACTGTACTAAGTATAATTACATTATATAAGTATAATTTCTTGGATAAGACATAAATCAATTAATTTCAAGATAATATTCACATAGGTAGTTTATCCACAAAATACCATGTTATTTTTGTTCAATTTATGACATTAGTTGTCATTATACTTTAGGTAATTCCATTTTTTGGTTAAGATAAAACTGTTTTATTGAACTATCTTCAGTCTCGGTGTCTCACGCATCTGTCTCCAGAATTAAGATTTATTTTTCAACTTAGGGCCGTTCTTACAATGTCCGGTTAAGTGTCGGTTAAGACYAACCGRTAGAATTCTAYCGGTTAACTCATGATAAATTCTTCCGGTTAGTGTTATCAGGCACTAACCGAGCATTGTAAGAATGGCCCTAAGTCATACTTTTACATTTTTACATACAATGGAAATCATTTAAATATTTGAATACTTTAATTTTATTAAAAACTTCTATTTGACTTTTTGTTCCGTGGATTATTTTTCGTACATCGTACCATAGAACAGTATCGTACATTCGTTAATCGTTTCAATTCTATTTAGGTACTCCATGATCTTCAGTATCGGTACTGGGTACTGTTCTATGGTATCGGTAGTGACTTGTAGACCGTGGTAGTCATGTCGGAAATAAAAAATAAATACATAACCAAATAAACACGGTTTGAAGCGTTTTTCGTTCTCCTTGGACGTTCACTGGTTGTGATTGTTGGCGGCACTGTGTACGGTTACTGCAAGTTGAAAAGGAGACGCGTTCTTGTACCCCCACCCTTCTGCTCTGCGAGTGTAGATCGAATAGTGAATACTTGGTAGACGCCAGACGGTAGTTGAACCACTACTCACTAGTGTTTCGCTTTTCGCCATCGTTCATTTCTTTCGGAATCGTCGTTCGTCTTGGTCTACTGGTTGTCGCGTAATTCGCACATCCACTGTCATCAAGTCTTTTTTTTTTTATCCATTTCAATCTTCCGAATCGTCGACTATGGTGAGTATTTATTTGATGATGTTTTACATTCGACGACTTTCCTGTAGTTTTCTAGTCTGTTGACCACGGAAATGACACTTTGATTTTGCCATTAGGTTCACGCATCGTGCGCTCGACCACGAAACGCTGGATTTAGAGTGTTAAACGAATCTTATGTTTGCATGTTTGTTTTGATATATTCCGTCTAATGTTTCTCCGACTTCTGATTTTGTATTTTTATATTTTGCCTTATTTATATGCATTCCGACTAATTGTTCCGTGACTTGTCATTTTGGCGAAATTAAGGTTAGGTAACTCGTATACGTTTGACAAGAGACAATTTAATTATTACTTACGATCTGTAGATTTCAGTAAGAACATTCACGGTCCCGGTTAAATAGACCGAATGATTTTACCAAACTTTCACGCAAAATGTTAAAAAGTGATAATGTCACACGTGTCAGATCGAGATTAGTTTTCATAAATTTTTCACATTTTATATTTAGTTTGACTTTTTAAATACTAAATAATGTACTGTTGTATTAACCTAAATTTTGTTAAGTGTTTCATTTTACTGCTATGTTGAATTCCACTTAGAATTCTTTCAAATACTTAAATTTATACTAGGTTATGTTAATAATGAGGTATGCATGTGTTAGTTTCCGATTGCCTACCTTTTATTTTTCTTCACAAGTCAAATTCCACTATAAAGATACCTTTCCTTACGTTTATTATTTTTAATAATGTGTCTTATGTAATTTACAGTCTCATCGTAAATTTAGTGCTCCTCGGCATGGTTCTATGGGTTTCTACCCAAAGAAGCGTGCACGTCGTCACCGTGGTAGGGTAAAGTCTTTCCCCAAGGATGATCCCAGCAAGCCCATCCATTTAACTGCTTTCATTGCATACAAAGCTGGTATGACTCATGTTGTTCGTGAAGCTGACCGTCCAGGATCAAGTATGTTAATTATTAATTGAAGACTTAAGCTTTATTAACTGATATTTTATTTATGTTTTTAAAGAACTTAATAAGAAGGAAATTGTGGAGCCTGTTACCATTTTGGAAGCTCCTCCTATGATTATTGTTGGTGTTGTTGGTTATGTTGAAACTMCAT